ACAGCAAGGCAGTCAGGTGTCTCTTTTACAGCTGAGGCACTGGAGTGCTACTGAGTCCACACTAGAACCTTGAGCATATGGACATCATGCATTGGCGTGTTGGACATGTGACTGCACTGGCAGGAATCACAAGCTTCACCCCCACCCCTTCAAAAAAAAGGTCAAAGGCTGTGCAGTTCCGTGGGATTCCGGAAGCGTGTTTTGGGCCAAAAAGCCTGAAGCTGTAAAAAGCGACGAAGCCTTGCAAATACCAAATCCGGAGAACTGACTTTCATAAAACGTACCAACGGCCAAATGTACTGCAAATACTAGTATTTCAGGCTGCTCCAAGCACAAGAATGCAAAAAAAGGCGAAACATCGCGATGCCCAACTGCAACAGGAAAAACAAGTAAACAGTGGTTTCTGAGAAATGCTGTAAGTAGCAGTGAAAATTTGCATGGCGCCTGTCATATTCAGACAAGGAAGCACAGAAAAAACGGTGGTCAAATACCAAAAGTATGCCTGGTGATAGTAGTAGTAGTAGTAGTAGTAGTAGGCGGCCTCCCCCCTACCAACTATGTTGGTTGATATTTTTCATTTCCAGAGCTTTGGGGGAGGGGGGTGAGGTTGGGGATAACCTCAACCAGTCAACTTCCCCCAAACTTAATGCCTTCTTTCAATTGCTCCAACTGAACAAGATCATGGAGTTTCTCTTGGCCTTTTCGGGAGGCAAGCCAATGTGGATCCACAGGGACCGCCATTTTGGCCCGCATTTTTGACGGTACCTCGAAATCTTTGATGACAGTGGTCCAGGTAAGGCTCACAAAGCAGGCCTTTCGAGAACTAACCAACACCCTGCGAGGAAAACATTTCGTTGTCATGTTGCTTACTGTTTTCTAATGCCGCCTCCCCCAACATGTATACTAGCCGTTTTAGCAAACATAGTTGGTAGGGGGGGGTGGGCGGCTAGTAGTCGTCGTCGTCGTCGTCGTCGTCGTCCACGTCACCGTCACCGTCACCGTCACCGTCGCCGTCGCCGCCGTTGTCGTCGTTGTTGTAGTAGCAGCAGCAGTAGTGGCAATGGTAGCAGCGCAGGTAGATTTCACGTTGCATAGCTCTGCCAGAGCAGTCATCAGATGTCCCGACCAAAGCTCCCTTGTGAATGGGCACTATTTTCGAGATGTACTGCTGCCGCTGCCTGCAGCTTTCCACTAGTTTGCATTGATGCGCGCCTGGAGGTGATAAAGCATCCGGCGTTGGCAAAGGCAGTGGACTTGATCTGGTACCGGCTGGACACTTGCCCAAGAAGAGCAGACTTGATATGTCTTTGGCGTGTCCTTTCCCTGACCTAGAGACGCAGCGGTATCCATGCCTGTTCTTCCTGCATGGACGTACTTGCAAGCCTTTCATGGCTCCTGTCAGATCACGGGAGGATTGCCGAGAGCCCCATAGTCAAATGAAGGAAACCCACCAATCCTAGTCCTATCATAGAATGCCGTGGCATGAAACCACCGTTTCAACAGTTGTTCATCCTTCTGGGTCTGTGTACGATCATGGGCATGACAGCTTCGCATCACGGGCTTCTTCGGTAATATTCAGTATTGGCAACAGCATCGAGACTTCAAATTCGTTGTAGATGATTCTGCGCGTACCTTGGCGACAGAGAAATACCGCTGAAACCAAGCAAGCGGCGGTGAGGGCTGCTGTTTGTCCTGGGACACGCAACCTCTTCTCCTTCACTTGTTCTAAACATACCTGCACTGTTAACAGCAAGGCAAGTTGGGGGTAGTCATATAATATTGGCAGGTGGTCCCAGCGTGATTGGCATGGCTTTGCATGTAGCCGCCCATGCTTCCACAAGGCTGAATACTCATCAATTTTCCTAGGATTTGCTGGTAGGCCTAGGGTTTTGTGGACTGTTGCATTAATGAGCTAAACGGGCTCCTACAAAGCTTCCATTCATTCAGAACCATGAGCATTGTATCACAAAGCTTAAATACCTGGTTTAGCCAGTGTGTGTGCATAGTGCGCAGGATCATGTAAGATCCTCATGGTTCCTCATTCCTTACCAAGAGGATATCCCTAAAATGGAACGGGTGCACTCTCAGACTAGGATCGTTAAGAACCGCTCTAGGAGTCCTCAACGGGGCTTCCCCAGCTTGTAGAGGGCTGTGAAAGCAAAGAAGTTTGCTGGAGCATATTGCTTTTCAAGTTGTGGCTGTTTAGATGTTTGTCAATGCCTCTGCTGATGAGGTGATGGCCCGATTTATTGTCTTTCGCCTTTACTTCCTGTTCACGCTGGGTGTTTTGGTGGCTAGCCAGACGTCATTGCGTTCATCAGCGACTCGCGAGATCAACATCACGGTGGCGGCCTGCAACTTAGATGCAGACGTGGGAGTTTCTCAAGTTCACCCTTACACAATCCTTAAACGGACACCCTTAATTCGGAATTCCACCCCACCCCTGGGGTTTCTACAGGTACCCCTACTTCAAGACACCCCAGACATTCCAAGTACATAATGTACAAGGCTTAGTGATGGTGGAGGAGGGCCCAAATCTCCGCGCTTGACCTTGGGCTTTCAATGCGTGTACAGCTTCAGAGAGGGGCTTGACGTAAGGGCGTATGGACGGTGCGCTCGAATATAAGATCGCACTAGCGCCCAGTGTTATCACTCTGTCTACTTTTCTTCTGCTTAGTCTTGTGATGCCTATCACTCTTGTGTAAGATTTCTTTGCGAGGCCGGGCTTTCTTGTACACTGGAAGCTTCGCGCCAATTCTGTGCCAGCACGTGTTGCGCATTTGTCGGGATGTGAGCGAAGAAAAGTTTGAGCGCACCATTGTGGGGCCGATCCCAGCGTATTTGCTGAGCCTTCACGGGCTAAACTCCACAATGCTGCTGCTCACGTTCCTGGCAATGATGAGCCTGGAGCCTGTCATCTGGTGTATTGAGTATGGCCTGGATCGAGGAGATCCTTTCACTAGATCCTGTCCGCAAGCGGAGCCCTTCTCAGACTGGTATGGCGCCGCCTCGGCTCTGGCTCTGCTGGCACAGTGGTTTCTGACACTGGACCTTTCAATCTTCTCTACAAGGGTGTCTGCTTTTGTGTTGGCATGCAAGCAGCTGCTTTCAGAAGCTGCCCTCACAGTGGGGGCAATATGCTTTACGGTGCTTGCTTTCTCTACAGCAATTAATGCGTTGGACCGGCAAGTGCCCCAAGTGGATGGCGTTCAGGGTTGGACCCTGACCTTGTTGCAGCTGGCTCTAGACATCCTTCCAGAAACGACGTGGCAGAACTTGCAGTCGGACGTTGTGATTCAGATAATGGTTGGTGCGTTTGGCAGCCTGATTTTTGTGTTCATTTTGCGCTCTGGCCGCAAGAGTGAGAGATTGGAATGGCAAAACGGCACTAAGATGAATGATACTGTTGGCCACTACTCACGGGGATCCTGAGATTCATGAGTCGCGGTGTGTACTCGTGGGCGGTAGAGTAGAGTTTTGGGGTAGTTTGTTGCACGCTTCTACATGGTTCTCAGGATCAATCACCTCTGCAATTCTGTGGATCGGCGAATTCTGGTTTCCGCTAGGCCTACACTAGCGCAGGGCAACCAACCTCAGGAAATGGAGTGAGGATAAACCCGCAGCGGCTTTTCAATGGAATTTCCTACCCCAGAGCACGAATTTGGAGAGCAATGCATTTTACGGTTTGTCAAGACTTGAGCCCCATCAGTCTCAAGAATTTTCCTATAGTGGTGGCCCGGACCCAGACGCCCCGCCATCCTTGATTCTCAGGAATCTTTTGGTGGCTCAGATGGCGGAGTCTTACGGGCGAGTCTTCGTAAGCCTGCAGGGTTGCGCGCGATTAAGCCGCGCATCCATGGTGGCAACGATGGCAGGCAGCATACCAAGAAGGCCTTGGCTTCAGGGTTGGATGCGCCCACTTTACGGTTTAGGCTTTGAAGAGCTGGTTCAAGTGTAGGGCCAGGTCTAGGATTTCCAAATGCACAGCTAACTCAGTTGCACCTACATCATCAATCCTAAGCCTTCAATACTCCCTGTAATTGTCTTCATAACCCGCTCCTCCATTCCCAACTCAGCATGACGAAAGAGCGCTTCGCCTTCTGACAGGCGCTGGTCCGCCTTCCTGCTAAGCCTTCACTTGGAGGAACCACTGGAGTTCAATGAGGGTGACGCCGGGCGGTGAAGGGTTGTACGGGGCCTAGGTGTAAGAAAATTAGTCAGGATTCAGGGCTCGTGAGGTACGGGATTAAAGGAGCCAGGGGTTACGGATTAAGTTGTAGGGTTGTTTTGAGTAGGGTTTAGGGATCCCTTCAGTGCTTTCTGCAGCCCTTGCAACCACGTCTGCAGGTTGGAGTTCTTCAAGGGCTCCTTCCTCTATGATGACGGCGTGTTGTGGGCATTGTGTAATTAGAACTCTACGAGCAGGGTGTATCGACGAGTTCCAGAGACCACCCAGGAGGGCCGAAGATTCTGCTTTGACGTGGTCTCTCTCTCTCTCTCAGTCTCTCTCTCCGTCTCCGTCTGTGTGAAAATGTATGCAGTTTCGAGTTGGCGCAGAATTACAGACATCTGTGAAAGCATAGCTGCCTGAGCTTCCGAAAGGCATCAAGCGACACCTTTGTACTGTAACCAACCCCACAACCGTAAACCTGCAACCTATTCCCCAAATCTTCTGCCTCAGGGTGAAACAATGCGAGCTTACTGTAGCGGCCAGGATCATCCGATCCTCAACATCGAACCCCCTCCCGACCCAAATTCTGAAATGCCTCCAGCGCTCAAGGGGCCTTAGTCACCTTCGTCTGTGTGTTTACATTGCCTCAAATCCTGAGAATAATCACACGTCTCCCTTATTTACATTGTTGAGCTAGCTGCGAAGTTCCCTTGTTCCGCCAAGTGAGCAGTTAAAATAATAGGCGCTCGAGTAACGTTAATTAGATACGGAAATAACGTCGGAAAGCGGCTCGCGACAATTTCCGAAAAGTGGTTCCCACTGTGCGCGCGGAAGATCGCGGAAGCTTTCGCGGAAGCACTTCGCTTGCGGAAGCTCTTGCGGAAGCTCTTTTTTCAATCTGCCGAATCCCGAGCAAAAGCTTATGGAGATGGAAGGTTCGTACCTTCAGAAGAAACTCAGCCGTAATGTGCC